ATTTGAGTACTGTACAGTATACTGTTTCTATAGTCTTGGAGACTGTGATCAATATTAAATTAATGAATAAAGGGCACAACTTGTTAAGCCTATTATTTCTGGATCAAACTCTTCTCCTTCTGGATAAACAGGCTCCAAGGAGCAGCCATCTTTTTCCTAACCCATCAATTCTATACACCTGGAATGGAGAATGTACTCATTCTGCTCTCCTTAGTTATACAACGGTATTTTAAAGCTGTCCAGAATTGGAACCTGGCCAATTTTCCCCTTGCTGCGGCTGCACTGTAAGGAATTTTCCAGAAGTCCTGCTCATATTCTCCATAGGAAAGCACTGCCCAGTGATTGCATCATAACAGGACTCCCAGCTTAGCTAGGCCTTGGTTTATTTACCCTCTGAATTCCATAATGTATCTTGCGTAACTGTCAGATCCAGACCCAGTTCCGAGATTGTGTTTCACTGGAGCTGTATTCCACAATCAAAATGCAGAATTATAAGACAGCATGAAGCTGAGGGACATAGGAAGTTGCCTTATATCAAGTCACACCATTGGTCCATCTAGCTTAGTACTGTCCACACTGATTGGCAGTGGCTTTCTATTATTTCAGATGGGAGTCTTCCTCAGCCCTGTCAGGAGACAACAAGGATTGACTCTGGGACTTCTTACATGCACAGCTTGTGCTCTACTACTTCCCCCAAATGTGTACCCTTAGCTTTACACTAAATATGCCCCAGACCGTGCACTATAAATCTCTCCAAAATCTTCCTTAGAAATCTCTGCCACTCTAAAGGTGCAGTTCTCTTATTTGGAAGCAGCAATCTTGCAAGCTCTAATGTCTAGACCTGATGGAAAGATGCAGTCATTAAGATATTGTTGTTGTTGTTTAGTCGTTTAGTCGTGTCCGACTCTTCGTGACCCCATGGACCAGAGCACGCCAGGCACTCCTGTCTTCCACCGCCTCCCGCAGTTTGGTCAGGCTCATGTTTGTAGCTTCGAGAACACTATCCAACCATCTCATCCTCTGTCGTCCCCTTCTCCTTGTGCCCTCCATCTTTCCCAACATCAGGGTCTTTTCCAGGGAGTCTTCTCTTCTCATGAGATGGCCAAAGTATTGGAGCCTCAACTCCAATTAAGATATACATACAGATTATTTCAGAGACCAGAGTTCCCTGGGAATAGGGATTGTTAAAACCACTCTGGAAACTGTAGCTTGGGTGGGGGGTGAATAGGGGTCTCTTAACAAAGCTCAACACTCTCAACAAACTACAATTCCATGGAGTCTTTGGGGGAAGCCATGACTATTTAGTGTTATGATGCCACTGTGTAATACAGATGGGGTCTGCCTCTCTTGTATCATAGTATCTCTCTACCACCTCTTTCTCGGAATTACTATAGAGTTAATGTACAGAATTACTTATTTCAGATAAAAGCCCTATCTTACTATATTAAAATAAGTAAGAAGCCCAGTTACACATACAGGTTTAATCCAATCATATTTACTTGGAAGTAACTCGTGCATGTCTTCAATGGGACTTACTCCCAAGTAAATATGCATATTATAGCAGTCTTACTGTACAATCCTAGACATATCAACTCAAAAGCAAGTCCCATTGACATCAATGATGTTTACTCACGGGTAAGTGAACAGAAGATTGCAGCCTTCCGTTTTTTAGAAGTAAATTAAACTAGGCCTTCATCCTAATTAAGCTTAGGCCTGCTTAACTAATTGATTTCAATGGGTTTATGTGTACCTAACTCTGTGTTGGATTGTGCCTATGATGTGCACTAACTCCTACTTCTTTAAATGGGCCCACACTCCAATGTTTAGTATGGTCCAGTTTTTCCAATTTCAGTGAAGAGTGGATAGACTGCACCTAGCATGGCAGCCCCACTAATTTCAACAAGTCTGACTTTAAATCCATATTTTGTTGAACAGAGGGCAAAGAAGAATAGAAGTAACAGCACTAACGCTTGATTCTCCTGAAGCTTGCATGGAAATAAATCCAGTTATGTCACTAGAGCCTGTCTCCACATAATGGATTCAGGGTTCTTAAATACAGGTATTTTAGTTTGCAATTAGTCCACGTAGACCACTACGAATTCTATGCTGTTGGGGGGGAGCAGGGAATGAGAGAATTCCTAGATGCCAAAATCCAAGTTTGGGAAAAGTACTGCTTTGTGAGAACCCCAGCAGAGATTTAAAGTTACAAAATATGCAGCAAGTAAAGTGTGGAAATATAGGCTGTTAGACCTTTAAGCTATGTCCTTTCAAGTACCGTAAGTTCCCTTCCAGCAGCATAGGAAAAGACCACACGTTTGGTAAGTTAAAAATTGGTTTATTTACAAACTCTTCAAATATCTGGTTCGTGTACTTTTCCATACATCAGTCAGAAAACTTGCACAGGCAGTAAAACTTAGCTTAGTTACAAAGTGGTAAAAATTCCTAGATTATTGGTATAGGAACTCAAGAGTGGCTGGTGAGAGCCAAGCAGTTGAGCTGCAGCAACCAGTTCAAACCTCCTCACACAGTGAGTTTCTCAGGTAGACTAGGGGCAATAGGAATGATTACCTATTTCCTCCCAAGGTGAGGGGAAGTGACATAGCTATGCCTGGTGGGACTGCATACTCTATGGCATTAACCCCTTTGTGCATTAATTAGACTGGAGTATGTTGCTTGCTGGTTACCTCATTTTCTAAACATTTCTGCTGCCATGGCTTTCTGGAGGAATGCAGGCATCATGGTTGACACAACAAATTTGGGGATAAGGGTGTAATTGTTTTAAATCCATTTTTAATTAAGTAGCTAGTGAAGGAAACTAGTCCACCCATAGTCCTAAAGACGTATACGCCAAGTCCTAAATTAAGCTTACCAGACGTCCCCGTTTCCCGAGGACAGTTCCTGGATTTACAAATCATTCCCCATACAAAATCCATTGAAGTTGAAAAGTGTCCCCAAATTCACTGAAAAAAATCTGGTAACCTTATCCTAAATTCATCTTGCAGAGTTCAATGGCACTACTTCCTAGCAAGTATCTTGAAGACTGTAGTGTATATTATGAACTGTGTGTATTATGAACTATGTGTTTTGATTTTAACCTGCCCTGGGGCCTAAGGTGAAAGGCAGGAAAATCATCATCATCATCATCATCTGCACTTAAAATGGTTTGGCTCAAAAACTGCATTGTGCACACCTGTTCTTAAGAATCAGATTTGTGATGAATCCAGGTTCTCAACTGCAACTTTTCTAAACCACTGCCCCCCCCACCACCCTGTTTTCCAAACAGGCCCCTAGCTCCTCTGCATCCCCCAATTCAGGAGGGTCAGTCTTGACTTGACCGAAGTTGCCTTGCCTTAAATCTCACGAGACCAGGATATGTGATTTATGTACAAAACCTAGAATCTGGTGGTTCTTTGTATCATCAGCTCCAAAAGGGGGGAGTGGAAGACTCTTAGGCTTAAAGCCATTTTGTCAAGGCAGGCTAAGCTCCCCCCACCAACCCCCTGCCAACTTTACCATCATTCTTAAGCTGCCTCCATAAAGGAAAAGGGAAACAAGCTATAGTTTTCTTCACCACTGTCCCCTTCAACCCAGGAAATAGGGGAGGTTGGGCCAAGTCTGTGTAGAAGGAAGCTCTAATGTGTGCGATGGGTCATCCTCCCTAGCAAAGAGTTTAGGATTGCTGCCTTGGCCACAATGGGATGATCGAGAGCTTGCTCGCTCTTGCTTCAATAAGGAAACAGCAAGCTAGCAACACTTCTTACGCACCCCCACCAATCCACCACGCCGACCCCCGCCGGCCTATTAGTCCTTTCTTCGGCTGTGTGTTGCTGTATCCTGTTATTCAGCAATTTAATAAAAGGCCTTGCTAACTTGAGAAACTGGAGGATTAGGCCTAGCAAGAGAAGGGAGTCCTGCTCCTGTAAATCCCCAGGCAAAGACCTTATTATCCACTGCCAGGGTGAGGGTCTCCATAATAATCATCCCCTAGAAGGCAAGGAAAGAAAAAGGAAAAAGGAAATGTTAATGTTGTCTGTCGCTGGCAGTGGCGAGCAAGGAACGAGCAGGCGGCTGGGGGTGGGGGCTGCAAGGGGTGGAAGGGGGCAATTTGAGAGAAGGAAACGAAGGCAGCCAATTTGTAGGCCCTGTGCCTCATCAGGGCCGCTCGGGGCCTCCGCGTTTTGCTCCTGATTGGGGAAAGGGGAATAGGCGAGGGGGGATCAAGGAGACTTGCTGGAGGAGGGGGGCCGAATAACAAGCGATAAAGGAGGTCGCCTTTGCAAGAAGGAGGTCTTCTCTGCCAAAGCGTGGCGAGGCAGGGTCCCCAGCCAAAGGTGGGCCAACAAACCTACCCTCCTCTTTCCAGGATCTCCTAGCTTTCGCTCTCTCCATATATATATATGTATATATATATAAAGGCAGGGGGAGTTTTCTCCGTTGCCGCCTCCTGCCTCCTCGGCAACTGGCACCAGCCCTCTGCTAGGGCAGACACGCACCGGAAAGGGTGATCCCCTTCGGGAAGAGGGGGGTGGATTGGAAGGATCACGTTCTTCGAGGCCGCCGGCACTGCAGGAAGCGGGAGCCGGGGTCGGAGAGAGAAACCGAGGGCGCGGGGCAAGGTACGCATACACGGCGGAAGGCTCAGCTCTCGTCTGGAGGGGTCTCTCCCCCCCCCCCCCCACTCCTCGACCGTGTGTGCTGGTGGTGGGACCCTGGGTGACTGACGTCAGAAGGAGCCGGCGGGATCGCCGGGAGAAAACCTGCCAACCCCCCCGGCGCCGGTTGCTCACAGCTCCCTGCTGGGCCCGGGGACCAGAGCAGGCGAGGGGCGGGAGGCGGAGGGCTGCTGCTGCTGGGCCGGAGCGCCCTGAAGGGAAGGAAGGAAGGGCCTCCCTCCGACGGCTTCCCGCGAAAGGCTTGGAGAGCGGAGTCGACATGGACCCTGGCAGGACGCTTAGAGCGCGCTGAGGAGGAGGAGGAGGAGGAGGAGGCCGCCGCCCCCGCCGCCGCTGCTATCCTAATTTTAGCAGCCCGTTCTCTGCTACGAGGCGCTCCAGAAGACCGGGGCGCGAGCAAGGGTAAGCGCCTCGCTACTCGGGTCGCGGGGGCGGGCCGGTGTCGCCGGTTTGCGGATTCCACAGAGCTCCTGGTCTCGGAGTCTGTTGTAGTCCAAGGGGAGCTCGAAACCTTCTCTCAATCGTTTTGGGAGACTCGGGGAAGGCCTCCCCTTTGCCCCCGCCCCAAACCCCACGTTGTTTATATACCCCCTTGGTTCCCCTCCACCACCACTCTAGAGGGCAGTGCTTAAATCTGGAAAGGGGGCGGGGGGGCGGAATCTGGAGTTCCTAACCCCACATCCAAGGGGATTTCTCTTGCGAATGAAAAAGCGAGGTTATCTGCTGGCCCGCAGAACGATCCGTCCGGCGGAGTCGCCTTGACCGATCGCCCGTCGGGTTTTGTCAGCCTGGAGGGATCCTGTCGCTCGCCGGGCAACCCCGGCCAGGCCCCGCCCTCTCTCTCCTTGGCTGCCTCGGCCTTTTTCCCCGTCGAAGTCGCCGCCGTCCCCGCGGCTTTCCTAATTGCAGCCTGGGCTTAGCCTTGAAGTTGCAAGTCCTTGACTTCTTTATACCTTGTATAAATTCTCGAGGGCTCCTGCGCTTCGTCAAATCTGACAAATATACCCGAAAATATAATTCCAAGGGGGTTACCTCATTTTGCATACTGCAAAGATGGAAATCAAACCAGAACTTCTTGCCAAGGGGAGACAGTTCTCGGGGCTGTCTAGTGTCAAGGCTGCAGGGGACAATTTCGTCTCCTGCGCGTTGTGGATCAGCATGACAAGAAACACGTCGGAACGTCGCTAATAAATGTTATATTTTTATGGAATTCGATTTTCTTTTTATAGCTGCAGCTACTTGATCCTGAAGTATTATTATAATATATATATGCAGTTGAAAAGGCTAACCTAATATTTCACAGGTGTATTTTTCTAGAGGTCATGTGACAAGAGCTTAAGGTCCAAATGATTTTTTCAGAGCGCTGATTTATCCGCCAGAACTCGAATAATTTGCCAAAAGTCTAGGAGGACTTTAGGAAGAACAAATAAAACTAAGAATGCATTACTCCAAAGAGAAATCAAGTAGGAAACCCGATGCCTTACAAAGACGATGTCTTTTTTTTTTTTTACATAAACCGAAATAACTGTTGGTTCTAGTTATTAAACTGCAAACAAACGGTTTAATAAAATAAATAGGAAATCAAACTGTCCACATTCAAAACCTAAATGGAAGCTATTTTATTAAACTGGAAATATCCATTTAAATAAAAATATATACACGATCAAAACTGTCCTGACTTAAATCCTAAATGAGATTTGTGTTATTGATAATGAAGCATGTACGTTCATTTCCCGTCCATGTACAGTAATTGCTGCCCTAGTTAAACGCTGAATATAATCCTTAGTTCCTCTTACTAGAAATTAGTTCCTTGGCTTTCTTTGCACTCCTTGCACAGCTTAAGGCAGACTACTTGAGTTTATGTAAGTTTCCGTAGTAAACCCTGGTATTAAAACATAGAAGAGGCTACATTATTTAAACAGAACTGACATCTAAGTATGTTTGTTCAGGACTTAAGTTTTACTTGGAAGTAAGTTCTATTTCTATCAAGGCTGATTACTTTTTTAAAAATAAATCAAAATCTGGGTGCCAGTCCCATAATCATTTTAAATCCAAACAACACTGGGGTTTAAAATGGATTGTAGAGTAAAATAAAAATAAATAAAACAATCAGCCAAGCATTTGTCAACACTTGTTGCCTTTGTTGTGAATAAGGCAGTAGCACCATAAGAGAGAGAGAAGCTACCTGGTGTACACTTCTGTATATGTGTGTAGACACATCTGTGTCAAGGTTCTAAATCTGTTCCTGTCTAATTTGAGGTTAGACTAATATCTTTGGTTTCTTTGCATGTTATCCACCCTGGCAATTCTTGTTACTATTACAGTGAGGGGAGCCGGGAATAGATAGGTGTTGGTTGTGTGGTTTTCATTTTAATCTACACACACACACACACACACACACACACTCCTGAGATAGAGTCCTAAACATACCCTGGGAGATATATCCCATGGAACTTACTTATGAGTAAACATATTAAGATTTAAACTACTTCTGTTTAATAGTTTAATAGTTCCAGTCTGGATAATACAGTACTATGTGGACGAGTGAAATGTTCTTTTATTTGGCTTTTTAAAAATTTAACTGCTTGCTAAGATAAGAAAGCGCCCAGCTGCAAATTCCCATAGTTTCCTAATCTTGCCCCCAACACCCCGCCCCATTCGGAAAACCTCGATCAGGTACGAGGAGCCCTGGGGAGAATCGGAAAAACTGGATATTCAGCTTCTGTAGTTTTTAATTTGGGGTTGGCATCCTGTCCAAGTTAGTAGGAAATCCACTCTTGGCTCTAGATTGCGCCAATGCAACCCGACTCTGTATGTTTACTCGGAAGTAAATCGCACCGTGCTCAGAGGAACACAGAATAAGTGGGGAATAGGACTGCAGCCGCTCGCTTTATAAATCTCCCTTTCCAGTGTGCGGGAAAGCAGCTTTCTGCTAACATACAGCTTTCCAAGAGTGACTGTCAAACACTTGCCGCTGCCATTTGATTTTCTGTTTGGAGGGGAGCTATCTTAACATACCTTGGGACAGTAGAGCCGACTTCCCAATAAATCCCAGGCGTGATCCGCCAAACCTAATTCCTCCATTGATTTCCATTAAAGTGAGCTAAGCACGTGCCTAAACAGTGAAATCAGCGGGACCTAAGTGTCCCCTATTTGCAAGAGGTGGCTTGGGTATAGGCCCTTAAGAAAAGGCATTCAGCTGAAATATTGGGTGTGGATTTTTCCATTAAAAAATAACAATCGTGGTTTTGGTATAAATCTATCTGTTTCACCCTTCCAACATGCATGCATAGATACACACACATACGAGCATCCCCATGCGATTCATTTACGGTGTGTTTTGTTGTCTACACAGATTGTATTATGGAACTGGGTCTGCCCAAGAGTATCCCTCCCTATGTGGATTTAGGTAAGACAGTGTCTATTCGCTAGAGAAATTCGGAATAGCAGGGAAGCGGGGGAGGGGAGAGGGGGGGTCTTCCTGGGCATTAGGCTCCGCGTCGCTTTTAATACTCTAGTAAAGTCCATTGAGCCCTTTTTTAGTTGGGCGGATTTCTATAGGCACTAATTGAGGCGCGTTTCTTTTATTTACTCTTGCCTCGCTATCTCGAACTCTGCGTGTGCTGCTGATTAACTCGGCTCTCTCTCCCCCCCCCCAAAAAAAAGACTTTAAGGGAATATTTGACTCTCACCCCCCTATCAAGTTGCTACTAGTGTTAAGATAAAGCGGGATGTTTTCCCCCCCAAATACAACTGCAAAGGCATCACCAGCCCTATCTGAGCTATTTCTCTGCGACGTTGTTTGCTCTCTGGACCCCATGACTGCAGGGAAGATAATGGATGGAGCTGGCACACGCTGATAAGAACTTGGAAGTGTAAAGTCCCGTGGCTTTCTGACTTCCAGAGAAACATGTTCAAGGTGGGGATGTTGTTTGGGTGCTGCGATCCTGCAAGTACTTGATCTCAAGGGGGAGGGGGAATCCAGCGGGGTTTTCATCAGGGCCAATGGGTGCAGGATCGCCTTCTACGAGGCTCACTTTCCATAGAGTTTCGACTCGGGGAGAGTCAGTGAAAACTGTTTTATAATGATGATTAGATTTTTTTAAAAAAAAAAACTCCTATAAAACTTTCTAGAGTGAATATACATACGGATCCGCAGCTAAACTCAGAACCAGAAAGGATTTTAGCCGATGTCGTGGTTAGCTCCGCTTAGCTGACTTGTGGATTGCACTTGTCTGGGTTCTGTTTTTCTTAATGGGGGTTTTATCGGGCGCGGACGAAGTTCTTGAAACGTTTATAATTACCATTATTAAATATTGGTCGTTGACCGTTCTCCTCAGCAGAGTCACCGGGTTGTCAATTTAGCTGTGTTTAAAGGCATCTTGGGTTTGTTGGTTCTCCACAAAGGGTAATTATTTGTCTGATTTTTTTGTCGTTTGAAACAGGAAACATTCCTGGCTGGGTTTGCTCTGAGCACATTAAAAAGCCCCGTGCGTTATTAGAATACTTCAGCCTTTCAGGAAATGTCCCGTTTGGGGGGGGGGTGTCTCTCTCTCTCTCTCTCCCTCCCTCCCTCCCTCCCTCCCTCACCAAGCAAAATATTGCCAGCAATTAAGAGGCTTGCTTGAATGAAACAAGGACAAGGGGGGGGGTGGAAATACCGGTACATGTTGGAAACACAATCCCGAGTGGCTCCGATTGCAGCTTCTTTTCAGCTTGGGAAGGCTCCCTAACGAATGAGAGAGGCTAGTGGTTCCTGCGCTTTTGATTACGCTGGATCAGAAGCATATTTTTTAATTCCCCCCTAAAGAAGAAGAAGAAGGAAAAAAGCGCACCAAGTTCAGATGAAGAGATGCCCTGAGTAATATGAGCAGCCTGGTTAACAAACTCCCCTGCCCTTTTCCTCCATCAATTAATCTGAAAAGCATGTTCCCAGAGGGGGCGAGCTAAGGAACGATATTATAGTTCCTTATCCTGCCCCTCTGGACGCTTCCGAAACTTCCCTTCTCTCCTGCTCCGAAGATAGTCCGAGCTATTAAAGAAGACAGCAACCCGCAGCTCGTGGACTCCGGGGCCCGCCTAAGATCAATAGATCTGCTCTGGTGTAAGTGCCCAGCGCAGCCTAACAGGCGTTTTCTTTCCCCCTGGAAAGCGAATCCTATTCCGTGTCTTCAACATGCACAGGACCGGGCTGCAGCCGAAGTCGGAATGCAGCGCGTTCTACTGCGACGCAGCATCTCGATTTTGCAGCAATAAAGTCCCAGGCCAGCCAAGGAGTGAGTGGTCGCCTCGAAGTGCGACCTAGAGCCGGGATTCGGAGCGCGTCGACTCAGAAGCCACTGAGTCGGGCGGGGTCCCTGCTACGTGCCTTCAGCCTCACGGTGTCCAAAATGGGATTCAATGTAATTGTCCCGAAACTGAAGTGCCAGGCTGTCACTCGTGTATTTCAGCCCCAAGGGCTGCTTCTTTTAGGAGAAACTGGAACTGTGGGTCCTCTTTCCTTTTAAACGAATAGCAAGACAGACCACTATTGTCTACACCAAGGATGAGGAAACCGGTGGAACCTCCAGATGTCGCAGGAGTACAGCTGTCACCCTCCCCCTGGCTGTCTGGACCCATCAACATCTGGAGGGCCAGAGGTTCCCCGTGGCTGGCCCGGCAGCGGCTCAGACAGGGGCCTTTCGCAGCCCTTGCCTGGCCATGGCGGGACTTGAACCCGGGACTGCATGCAAAGCAGATGCTCTGCCCGCTCTTATTATCTGATACCTCTTCCCTCACGCGCTTTGCAAACATCTCCTTTTTCTCTTCCTCCTGGAAACGTCCAGGATCAGGACGCAAGAGAGCCTCAGCATCCTAACAAGAGGCGGAGGCCCCCCGAGAGAGGCTCAGCCATTGTGCTCTGGCGGCCTGGGGGCCCTGCAGTCACCCGGGCGCGCCTTAGGCAGGCAGGCAGGCAGGCCGGCTGTCCCGGTGCCAAGCGGAAACCCAGCTCGCTTTGCTGTAGAGAGAGGGGAGAGGGGGGAGGGAAGGGCTTTTCTATCTTCCCAGCTTTGGGAAGCATGCTCAAGCGGCGGGTGGAGGGGAGCGGGAGAGATCAGCGGCGGTTCCGGCAGCCAGTTGCTGCTCTTCGAAAAAGCCTTGGGGTGTCATTTGTATCTGTCAGGGAAAATTAAGCTTTCTGTTTTTTAGCCCGCGTTTTTGTCAGTTCTCCCAACGTTTAGTTCAGGGCCGCTGCCTTATTATTAAAGTCCCATCATCTGTTTGGACAGTAATATATTAAAGACGTTGCATCTGCGCAGCGCGCGATGCCTCATCCTATTACAGTCAGAGCTCCACACGAGTCCACACACACGCACACTCTCAAATCCGTGCAGCTAGATCGCTGATATGGTGCTCCCACACTAGGTCCCAGTGCTGGCGAAAGAGTGCATTGGCCACGTCTGAAGAGAGAGGGTGGGGGGTGAGACAGAGAAAGTAGGTGGTCCTCGCCCATTTATTTAACTAATCTGGGTTTTCTAGCTTGAATTTATCCACTTCTGAAGCTTAAAGCTGGAATGTCACTTGAATAAATAGATCGCCCAGAGGCAAGTTTTGCAGACCAAGCTCCCGAGCAAATTCTTTTGTGTGGTTGTATGTCCCCCTTGCATTATTTTTTTTAAAGGAGGGGAGTGGGATCCCGTCATGGGGCTAAAGGAGGGATTTTGCCCGAAGACAAGGATGACTGTGAATCAAATAGCAAGGCAAAGCCAGAAGGTGGGGGGTCATGCACAGCCCCCCACCTTTCATGGATTGCAATAACGCAGTGGTGGTAGTTGTGAGGGAATTGCTGAACTCCACACGGCGGAGTGGATGTTGCTTGTTGGGCTGTACGTGTCAGGATACGCTTTGATCAGCGAGAAGATTAGTTTTTCTCTTCTTGTGCACCCCCAAGAGAGGGGGAAGTCCCTCAGTGCTTGGAGGGAGGAGGGCCTGTGGCTTATTGTTGTAGCCCCTGTAACTTTCCATTCCCTCCTGGGCGACCCCCGCATGCCTGGGTTGGTCCTCGGACCTCTGGGACGCCTCTCCAAGCGCTGACGCTGCTTGGGCGCCGGTGTTGACCTGGCAGTGGTTTGTGTAAAGGGCCAGAAGTTGACCTCCAGTCCTGAGGGCCGCCATGCGCGAGGAAACCTACCAGCCTGCTTGTTCTCCCAACACACCCTTAATAAAAAGCAGCCTCGCGCTTAAGTGCGTAAACGTCGTCTAGCCATGTCAAGTGCCCACGGAGAGAGGGAGAGACTGTTTCTGGGGTCCTGAACCCCCCCCCAAAAAAGTGCCTCCTTCTTCTTGAATGCTCCCCCTTTCCCTTCTTGCTGCGATCGCTTCCCAAGCCCAAAGCGCGTTGCCCTCCGCTTTGCATTGGCACCTCCGTCGTCGGGGGTGTTTTTATGTTGGCAAACGGCTCAGGGAGCTGTTTTATTGTCCCGTGTAAAATAAAAGGCTCTATAAAACCTGCCTCGCTCTGGATGGCTGCCACGGTGGTGGACGCTAGGGGCACCTGGAGCGGGGCAGGCGCCTTCTGCTCCTTCTCCGCCCTGGCTAGGACAGACCAGCCGGCGAAGGACCCGCCTGCGGGGCCCAAAGGCCACGGGTCCGCTTCCAAGGACGGGGCCGGTGTGATTCCCGCCCCGTGGCATCCTCCGGGTCACCACAAGCACACCACCACCGCAGAGACGGAGTGGCGGGGCTGCAGGCCCAGGGCTGTTGGTGGAGGGCAGAGGCAGCTGAGCGGGCAGATCCGACGGCAACGCGGCGCGATCACGCTTCTATAACGCTTTGGGCAAGTGGGAGAAAGAGGCCTGGAGGAGCCGCGCCCCTGGGACTCCATTAGCCTCGGGGAGGCGCGCAGGGACTCGCGGCTTTAAGAAGAAGCAGGCTGCTTGCAAATCCTAAGAGCCGCCGCTCCGCCGCAAGGGTTCCCCTTCCCTAGGCTTCGATTTCAGCCTATATCTACGTCCCCATCATTAAATGCATTTATTTCCCCCAATAAAGGCGTTGGGCATTGGTTCAGTTGGCTTTCGTGGGACTCGCGCCCTGAAGCGACCGAAACTAATAGTTTGGAAATACAGTAAGTCCCCGTGGAACTGGTTTTCGATGATCAGTTATACCTCGCAGCACGTATGAGGTCGGGAATCGGAGAGCTGCCCCTTGGTTGGCGTGGCTCTGCAGTCCTCTCCAAAGCTAGCTGGGAATGAAGTCCCGCTTCACCCTCCCACGGGGACGGACTTCCAGATTTAAAAGGGCGCAAGATTTGGACTGACTTCGCTGATCTCCTTATGGAGCGCTCCTTGGCCGGGAAATGCAGGCAAATAATGATCCGCAGATAATGGGCGTCTGGAGCTGTCGCGGTGCTCGCATAAGTGTCTTTGTCTC